TGTCGAAGCTGAAAACGAAGTAAAATTTACTCTCTTTTTTTTGCATAATTTAGAAGCTACTTTCTTTACTAAAAAACTTACATTTCTTAAAAGTATTAACTTACTTTCTAGAAAAAAAGGAACTATTTTAAGCTTAGCCGAACATGCTCCTACACAATTCGCAGTTGCGTAAAAACATAGTCACAAATACAGTATCACAATCCACCGTAATACCATCTAATCAAAGACTATTAAACGAATTTTTAAAAGAGAATTATTTTTCTCTAATTCGACTTGTGAGAAAAATCAGTGTTCTAAAAGCCACAACTAGGCGCGAAATATGGACAAAACGTCTCGCTTTTCGCAAAGGAGCGCCTTTTTTTTTTCTTTTTTAATATAGTATTTTATAATTTTAGATGTTTGGTAGGTATTATTTTAGTTATTAAATGATTTTTAGATTGATTAAAAATTAAAAATAATATTAAAATAAGAAACTTATTTTTATGTCCAGACCTCGTCTAGTTCGAAGTTTTTTAAAATAGTGTGAAAAATAGACATTATTTAACATTGGAATATGCTAATTAACTGAAGAATATCTTTTTATAGCAATTAAATTTTAATTAAATCAGTCATTTATCAGCCGATGAGGTCATTTAAGATTTGCATATACTATATCAACGTTTAACATTTTATTTCACAATAAATTAGACATTTTTCGACCAATATTATATTTTTGACATTCCTCTCATCATTGTGGAGTTACTATTGACGTACTAGTTGTTCGAACTTACATAAAGTGGTAAGCGTCGTCATTTTGAATCATTTAATGGATTTTTAAAAAGCTATATTGTGGTTTAAAGTTTTATTTTTGTAATGAATATTAAGCCACTGTTTGGTTCGGATTAAAATCTGATTTTAATTCAGGTCAAAGTCAAACAATGAATATTAACCACATCTTTCATGACTCTCACAACTTTTCAACTACACATTTCAAAAACTTTTATCACAAATTTTAATCCACACCAAACACCTTCTAAAACAAACAGGAAATTAAACATTTTTCGATCACATTTTGACACATGTTTCTCGCTGAGCTAATTCTCCTATCTGGAGAGGCCGACATAGCACACGATCTAACATGCTAAAAATACGATTGATGAGCCAATACAACACAACCACACACGTTAAAAATTGTAGGTTAGTTCTTGTTCAAACTTGTGTGTAAATAACTCGACCCGACCTACAAGTCTAACAACTATAAACTCCACTTTCATATTTTAGCTACTGGACATCAATTAATCAATCCATCTTTAACTATTTCTTATGTAAAAAGGAAAAGGACATCTCTATCGTTGACATTATATCGTAGGATACGATTTCAAATGAGGACAAGAGGCCATCAAATCAGTACATATGAATATGGCCCTGATTGCCTCGTAAATTTTATATAAATTTCTTCAACTTTTTTCGTTGCTTTTCGAAACAAAACACCAGCCTTCAATTGTCTACTAACATATTAAAGTTTTCGGTCCCTTTCACTGAGATACGAAGGCACCCCATAACCAGAATTTGTTTTGAATCAGATATAACTTAGCAGGTGAGCAGCCCAGAACCGATCA